ACGGGGTGTACTCGGCCATGGGGTGGTAGGAGTCCTTCGTGCTGAAGAAGTCCAGCTTCCCTCGGCTTTTCTGGCGGCAGGTGCAGGTGGTCTGGAGGGGAGAGGGAAGGGGTCAGGGGCTTGACAGCATGGGGACGAGGGCAGGGGATCCACCAGCAAACAAGGGATGGGGACAGGGGACTCACCATCAGAAGGCAGGTGAGGATGCTCAGCAGCAGCAGGATGCAGACCAGGACCAGCAAAGCAATGGCCCAATCCGGGACCACAGGCGCCGGTGCTGGGGACATCACCTCCACAGTGCCTGAAAGAGGACCAGAGCCGTGTCTGCGCTGCTGGACAGAGCTGCAGGGCTGGCTGGGACAAACAGCCCTGAGAGATCCCCAGGAAGGGGTGCGAGGGGATGAGCCCTTCTCCACAGGGTCCAGTTGGTCTTCCCAGTGCTGTCCGCCACAGGCACTGGGAAGCTGCACTGGCTCTGCTGGCTGCAAGCCCTGAGCCTGTCCCACTGCCAAGGAGCCTCCCTGCCCCAGCCAGGATGCAGCCGCGCTTGCGGAGCCCCGCAAAGCACCCCCGTGGGGCTCCATCCACCCTCGCGTCCCCAGCCCAAAGCTCCCGCTCACTCTGGATTCTGGCCAGCTGCAGGTCCATGATGAAGTTGTTCTGGTCCAGCTTGTCCTTCAGCTGCTGCGCAACGGTGTCGCTGGTCATGGTGCCATTGCCGTGCCCAAACACGAGGGTGGACTGCACCGCCACCGAGCCTTGGCTGCCCATGAGAGGAGGTGTTAGCACCCGGATCACCACCCCCCGCGAGGGGCTCTGCACCGTGCAGCCAGGACACGTCGGCCTCTGCAGCCAGAGCCACTGGCCGGCTCACCTGAAACGGAGCTCACTGCATCCCTTGTAGGTCTGCCTGCCCATGCATGTCGCACAGCCGAAGACATACTGGAACTGGAACAAAGCATGGGGGTGATGGCCACCTCCCCGGCAGACACCCCTTCCCTCCCATCCCCTCGCTGTTCCCCCTCGCAGGACCAGCCAGGGCTGCCAAAGCAGCTGGCAGAGCAGATGCTTGGGGCACTTTCACAGGGAGCCCCAACAGGAGGCGGCTTCTTCCCAGCACAGACCGGGGGATCTTTGCTTGCCCAGGGCAGCCCGTGGGCAGGGCTGGGACTCACCATGGTCAAGACAGTGTGGCTCAGGCTCCTGTAATCCTTCGACATGGGATCGTGCAGGCTCTCGTTGAAGCTCCTGTTGAGGATGTGGAAGGACAGCAGGACGCGGAGGAGCAGTTGGGCCGTGGTGGTTTTGCTGGGGTTGGGACCACTGCTGCTGCCCTGCACAGCTGTGGGGGTCTGCCTGGGAGCTGTGCTGCCCACAGCGGTGACAGGGGTTTTCTGCGTGGGGGTGACCTGAGTGCTGCTGCTCCCGTTGCCTTTGGTGCTGGAGGTGGGGATCACCGTGCCACCACCTGTGGGGGAGGTGGGAACCACGGAGGTGCTGTTGGTTGTGTTGGTGCCGAAGTGGGTGACCCAGTTGCTGCTGTTCGCAGTGGCATTGGTGTGGGAGATGGCAGTGCTGCTAGAGATGGGCACTGCGGTGCTGTTGGCTGTGGTGTTGCCTGCGGAGCTGCTGCTGGACTGGAAGTATGTGGTGTTGCCTGTGGCAGGGAAGACTGTGGTGTGGGAGGAGACAGAGGTTTGGGTCCCGTTGCTGCTTCCGTTTTTGGAGATCGGGATGTTTGGAGCGGAGGTCATGGGGGTGGTGGCCATCTCAGCGATTGTCTCCATGGTGGTTGTGTCAGTGGTGGACGTCTCTGTGGTGGTTGTGTCAGTCGTGGTTGTGTCGGTCATGGTTGTCTCCATGGTGGTCTCAGTGGAGGCACATGTACCTAGAGGAGACACCAGGAGTCGGCGGCTGGGACTGCAGCACCGGTTTGGGAAGGTTTTACACAACACGGCTCCTCAGCTGGATGCCCCCCTGGGCCACGAGGCACCGAGAAGCACCAGGACCTCCAGGAGCTGCCCACCCACTGCCCATGAGGCCAAGACCTTCAGGAACATCCCACAATTGGGCCTTTTGCTGGGCACATGTGGCACCACCAAGGGTCCGGGAGGTGCCACCTGGGCGGCTGGCACCGGCTCCATGCCCAGCCCTGCAGATCCCCCCTGCTCCTGAGGGGACCCTGCCAACCGGGGGGGCTACGGCCAGCCCTCCCACACC